GTGTGCTTCTCTCCTGTACCGCATTCGCACCGGACACAGAGTATGTGTGAAACGGTGTAACATGTCACTTCTCTAGCATAGACTAAAGTATTTAAAATATCATGTGTATGCTTTAGTTATATTCTCAATTCCTGCACAATCCCTGCAAAATTTAGAGACTAAGATTAGTGTGTGTCTGGGTGGGGGGCGTGGCATCACGATATCATCGTCCATTGGCACAACCCTAGTGGACACACATTTGTGCAGCCTTGAGAGTCTCTCTCGCACTGTATGACGTGACAGATAAGTCTGGTTCTGTTCACACAGCACAGGTTTTCAGAAAACGCGATTGTGAGTCCTACGAGTTCAGTTATAGAATGCGGTTGAGAGTTACCGTATTAAGGACTCAAATACAAGACTGACAACTGTATTCTGCAGCTGTATGAATGTGGACTAAAATTGCAGCAGATTAATGGTCCCTTTAAAAATAATCAGCACTCATTAGATACTCCCCAAAAATTCTATTTTTAATATGAATTGAAATCCAATTTACACACTAAGAACAATCCTCTTGTATACCCAACGGAACCGAACAGCCTGGTTTATTGGTAAATGGTTAAACTTGTGGCTGGTATCATGTTTCCTAAGTCTCTAAGTGTCATCTGTGCCAAGAGGACAAACAGTACAAAACTAAACATTTTAATGAATTATGGGTGAACATATGAGAGAAAGAAAGAAAGAAAGAAAGAAAGAAAGAAAGAAAGAAAGAAAGAAAGAAAGAAAGAAAGAAAGAAAGAAAGAAAGAAAGATTGTTAAAAAATGGTGAATTATAAAATTAAAAAAACCTCATCAACATATAGGGTTTACTTTATATCATATAAATATATATATATATATATATATATATATATATATATATATATATATATATATATATAATACATATATATAATAAATATATTTGATATATATATATATATATATATATATATATAATAAATATATTTGATATATATATATATACACATATATAAACAACAATGCAACAGAGAAATGAGTGAATCTATTATATATTGATACTGCATATGATAAATGTCCTATAATATATCCCATAATTGAAGTGCTTTCAATGGCAGAGTTGTTTTATATTATGAGTTCTTGAGCCTTTCTAATGGAAGCCACAACCAGACTGTCTGGTAACACAGGGTCGTTTTCAGCCAAATGAATGTAATAATCCACAACAGACAGAGAGATACATGCACAAACACTCAAGCACAGATCAAAAAAGCTGCACTCACATCAGCCAGGGCATCGGACACAGAAATTCAACAAAAATCCATTTGGCCCCACAGAAGTCTAGAGTACTCATCCCCTATCTGTATAAGCACAGCTCCAGCCAAGCAATGCTGACAGCACAGACAATTACTACACTTAATCCAATCAAATGAGATGCTTTTGGGATTAGCAGCATCCGCACATATAATCTCATTTGTGTAAAGAATGGATGAGCAGCTCAGGCCGTGGCTTTAGAGCAATGGCTGATGTTAATGCTGCTGATATAAGATAAAACGAGGGCTGTGACTGAATGGGAATCCTTGGGGTCTGGGCTAATGGCTAAAGCTAAACTGGGGAAACACTGCAAGCTAATGCCCAGATTAACAAGAGCATCAACACTGAGCACAGAAAAAGTACAAACTGGGGTTGGACTGCCTGAGGTCCATAAAAAAATGAATGAACTAAAATAAAATAAACAAAATAACAAACAAACTTACCAACCAACTAACTAAGTACAATACAACCAGCCCGTTGTCATCCTAGCGTCATATAGGTGACGCTATATGACAAAACGGCGAAATACTACGCACATGGCACCCTTTATCGTTAATATAACACGCAAACCCAAGGCGTCATAAATCCTTTAGTGTGAATATGAGACTACCTTACCCTACACCACACCTAAAGCTGCCCATCAGCGCTTGTTATATTAACTATAACGGGTGCCATCATAGGCGGAGTTTGACATTCGAGCCAGGGGGGGCAAAAAAAAAATTAATTGTAGCAGCTGACCTACATGGTAGCACATATGGACAAAACAAACATGCTAAAAAAAATATTTATTTTTAACCCAAGAAAAAACAGTAAAACAATACAATCATATTTGATTGCCTTTATTACATTGTAAACTATTAGAAATTCGCATAAACAACCACTTGACTTTGCGTCACATCTTCGTTATTAGGATCATGAAACGTGTACCACTTTTGCCCTGTTAAAATATTATCTTCAACCAAATCGACAAGATTTTTAAAGTTTTCTTTACTTTTTTCAAAACACATTGTGGCAATGAGAGTGATTCAAATTATTATACTTCATGAAACATTTAACACATTTTAAGACACGGGAAAAATGAACAGTCACAAAATATGCTAGCCTACTCTCCACATTTGAAACATATTGACAGCACATCTCTCCAGCTTAAGCAGTTATTTTGCAGAAAAACAAAAAAAACTTAGACCTAGAAATTGTCCAGACTAGTGCAACAGTAATTTTCGTTTTTTTGCGTACTGCGTCGATAATGGTCTCAGGTGAGAGCTTGGCAGTAATGTCGCTTTCAATGTGAAGGATCGCAAGAGACGAAAACCTGCCTGCTCAACCTGGCAGCAGTTCCTTATCCTCCTCATCGCAGAGAAGCTTCTCTCATAGGTAGATGACACAATCGACAGAGTGAGCGATAACTGTTTAAAGAGATTGGGGTAGGTCGTTTTTTTTTTTACAGCTTTTTTAAGAAAATGCGACTACCCGTTTCAGGCACCGCAAACTCCGCGCCTGGGTGCCATGTACGTAGTATTTCAACGTTTTGTCATATAGCGTCACCTATATGATGCTAAAGGATGAGAATGCGTTGAATATAACAATACAGTAAATAAATACATTAATTAATTTCTTCAAAATAAGCAACTACAACAACAACAAAAATACTGCTCACTGCTAGAAAATCCTGCTAGATGTTGAGCTAGTTTAATCTGGTTGATCATATGGCTGCATGGGCTGAGGTCAACCTGGTTGGAACTGGTTAACCATGTTCTAAAATCCATAGTGACTACTTTAAAACTCAATGGAAGCCTGCTTCCCCAACATCATCCCCAATCATGCAGGATGACTGTAATGCCACATTATGAATCTGTTTGAAGAGTTATGTGGAATCGGTTGGATTTAAAATCACCAAATGAAAGCAAACTATTCACTGGGCAAGAGGCTCCAAACTCTTCGTTCTGGTTGCCGCCTGGAAATATTGATGTTTCTCTTGGGGGGGAAAATAATGTAATTGTTTTTTTTGGACAGTGAGCATTCAATCAATGTATTTTTGCCCTGCCTGGAAGCCTGACTTCACTATGATTTACATGTAGACTGATAGCAGACTCCCATCTCACAATACCTCAGTTACTGTCCACTTTAAAGATTTAAATAAGAAAATAAAAGAGGAACACACCTGGAACTTCTCGTTTCAATCTTTTTACTGGTACGACTACCAAAACTGTTATTGTTCTGCAAATTGTGCACATATTGGTGGTAAGTGCATCACATTTACGGTAAAATAAAGTACAGTGAAACTTTCAGAGCCAAAATTTGCATAGAAATGAGCTCAAGCTCAAGAGCAGGGCACAGCTGCAGTCTGTTTAAAGTGAAGGATATTTATGGGATAAGGGAATGAGAAGATGCATAAAGGAGCATCTCCGAGAAAGAGGCAGATGACAGATTGGACTGCAAAGCTCTGTCGGTTTTCACTGACAAGAGAGGCATGTCAAAAGTGACCTCAATAACCAATCTGCCAAACAGACACACAAACTTCCAGACCACGCACTCTCTTTTCAAACGTCATTGTTCACTGTGCAGCAAATTATGCAGCACGGACAAGGAGGAAATGCAAAATCTCACATTTACATATACGTTATAACATACGAATTAGCACACAGAATGCAAACACATCCATGCTGAGACTCTTCCGCCACATAAAGCAGCTCATATAGTAGATCTCGCATCCAGTAAAGCTTTAAAATATCAGAAAACAACTACCTTTCTATTGTGTCCATTAACATTTGGGGCCATGACTATGACTCTAAGTACTCATCTCCAGTCAAAACAGAGACTAAAAGATAAAAACTGGGGCTCTACTGCTTAAAGCTGATGTGTGCCTTTGTTTTACAATTTTATTTTTACCTTTATTCATTTAGCTGACGCTTTTATCCAAAGCGACTTACAATTGTTATATATGTCAGAGGTCGCACACCTCTGGAGCAACTAGGGGTTAAGTGTCTTGCTCACAGTGGATTCGAACTTGCTGCTAGATGTTGGGTCTCTCAACATACCTTTGGGTCTTTCAAACCAAAGTATGTGTCTTATCCACTGCGCCATCAACACCCCATCACCACAATTTTGAATTTAGCTATAGTTCTAAACAATAGATTTCACCCAGGGGACCAGAACCCACTAGAGGGCCTCACCACACTTCCAAGTCACACACTTCACAGCCACAAAATGGTTTACAATGATTAAAATAAGATAAAACAAAACAATTTATAAGTAATCTAAAACAGTGAAAAATGCATGTCTCAAAACTAGGACTTTCATCCTGAAATATATACAGCTCTTAAAACTGATATTATGGAATTTATTTTCATCTATTTATTTTTGAAAATTCATTATTTCATTTAAATGATCTATTTAAAATATCTAGTTTCTGTAAATAAAAAATAAATAAATCACCAGCTTTGTCATCAGAGCAGAGCTATCTCAGCCTACGGGAGCCCTCGAATATTGTTTAGGACAATTGGAGGCCTTGGAGTCAAAAAAGGTTGCTAACCACTGTCCAAAAACACAGATCCTCTATAAACTCTATAAAGAGTAAATGTCTGTATGAATGAGCAAGTTTGGTTTGGTGATTCTAGTGACAAACAAATCACACACACACACTTCCGCTTTAAAAAAAGATTGGTATGAGAAAGAAAATTGATGTCATTTACCTGTCGTTGTCCACTGGTCTGAAGCCTGGCAGGATGTGTCTAAAACTGCTGTTCCTGTCCAGTTTAGGCTGACTCTTAGTCCGCTTTATTGAGCCCTTTAACCTGCGACTCAAAAATCCCTAATGAGGAAATGACAGAGAATAAGAGAGAGACATTATAATGAATTACAGGCAGAAAAAAAAAACAACTTTCAAATTGATCTTTCACCACCATTTCATGCATTCAGTCACTCGTTAATTCTCCCACATTATACACCATTTTTCTGTGAAAGCACCTGTCACTTTTTTTTTTTTTTGCAGCTCAAGACACACTTTCCTACTTTCCTTTAGGCACCAGTTACCATGGAGACAGCATATTGGCATCAAGGGCACGGAAAGGAAAGAGAGGCATTAAGTGAGAAAGAGTGACAAAGAAAGAATGAGAGCGAGAAAGACCAAGAATAAGAGTCAAGGACAAAGTACGATCGTCATCCTCACTGTGAGGCTGCTATAGTAGAAAGAAAAGCCGAGAATGTGAGAAGAAGAGAGTGAGAAAGGCGAGAGGGTGAGAGAGAGAGAGAGAGAGAGAATAAAAAAGGTGCAGAAAGAGTTTCAAGAAGAAAAGAGAGGTGAGACAGTAAAAAATCTGAAGTTTCTGACAAGAAAGTGTTAGTAAACAAACAGAAAGCAGGCCGTTCCCCCTACCAATTAACACATCTGCATATTCTACATAATTAAAGGCACCCTCCTGATTACTATTCACAATATATGCAAATTATTACACACAGACATCTCTTAATCACAGAGCAATCAGTCAAAGTATTGCAGCCTACAGTTTGATAGCACCAAAAGAAAGCAAATCAAACCAGAAGAGGACAGAGAGACAATTACAAGAAGACACCTGAATAATAAACAAGCTCCCCAGTTCAAACATTATATGACATGTGGAAATACTGCAGCAGATCTGGAAATGTTGTTTGTTAGCTTTGAAAGGTGAAAGTGGGTAAATTGTAGGGCTGCAAACAATTCATAAGTTTACAATTTCATGTTGCCATGTTGTCTCAGCGAGCAATGCCCTTTGAATGCAGTCAAGGGTGAACTGATATTCAGTTTGATATTTCATAACATAATAGGTTTTCAGTTCTTTAATATCAGCTCTACATGACTAAGATAAAATGCACCATTCAGTAGGTCTCCAGAGTTGCCAGACATGATTTAAAGTCTCTTATGCTCAACAAGGCTACATTTAATTAATCAAAAATACAGTAAAAAATATTGAAATGCTATTACAATAAAAATAATTGTTTTCTATTTTAAAATATTTTAAAATGTAAATGTATTCCTGTGATGCCAATGCTGAATTTTCTGTCTTCTATCACATGATCCTTCAGAAATCATTCTAATATGCTCATTTGGTGCTCAAGAAGCATTTCTTATTATTATCTGTGTAACTGTGTCGTGATAGTTGCGGTTGCCATTAAACTTTTTTTAAAAGCTTCATTGAGTATGTCAATCAAAAAGAGTTCAACAGCAATGAAACACAATCATGTGCATCAAAACAACATTCTTTGTTAAACGTCAAATTAAGGTTTTAAATGAACTACAATTAGATATGCTATATGCAACACAAGCAATAATATTTTAAATGAAAAATCACTTTACAGGAGAATGTCACATGATGACAGAAATGTGCAGGAAAAAATGTGTATGTTCAACCACATACCAGTATTTATACTAAAAAACTCTTCTGGTGCTCTTTCATTGTAAAAGAGCTGTTCACCCCAAAGATGATAATTGAAGAGTTCAGATGCAAAAGCCTCTTAGTGCCATTTGAATTTTTCTTCTAGAATGATCATTTTTATCAAGCTTGTATATTTAAGTTCAGTGATTTCACTTAAATGGCAATGATAATTACCTATTAATTGTTATTTAAGTGAAATTACTGAACTTAAATATACAAGTTTGATAAAAATCATCATTAAAGAAGAAAATTCCAAATGGCATTTAGAGGCTTTTGCATCTGAACTCTTCAATTATAACTATACATTTTTAATAATCATTCTAATCCTATGAGAATATGAAAGTCCACACTATAGCTATAACAATATTGTTGTGATCACTTTCAGAATGATTTTTATTTCCAGCTGATGAATAACAAAAACATTGACAGCCAATCAGAATCAAGACAATTTAGTTTGAGCATTTTAAGCACCACATGACTGCAATACACTTGTCTTTTAGGTATGCCAATATAGTTATAGTTTATTTTTCTTGGTATGAAGGATCCTTAATTTTTTTTTTTTCATTTTTTTTTTTTAAGAAGACAATGCATAGCAGTGCACAGTTGTGGAAAATCTGAATAAATGAACAAATAATTGAATCCGTTATCAAAACAGTTGTTCTTTGCAGCCCTATTAAACAATTCAGTCATGCCGTGTAATGTCAAGCCGTGTTAATAAGCAACTATCGAGCAGGTCTGTCAAACAGGACATGGATGTTGACAGTCGATATCCAAGGCAGAATCATCATTTCATCAGTCCCTTGGGCACACATTTTTGCAGGATCCCATCATCATCCTTAAGTGTATGTTCAACCACAAGGATGATTTGGCTAAACAAATTACAAAACACATTTCACCTTTTCTGGGTTAGGTGCAAGCAAAAGAACTTAAGCAAAGCCTACGTCAAATACCTGCCAGGAGAAAAATCAAAGGAAAACCCGACTTGGAATACATTTTACTAAAGCCATTTTGGTAACACTTTACAATAAGGTTTATTAGTTAACATGAACTAAAAATGAACAAACAATGAACAGATGTTTTTTTTTTTTATTATTAACTTATTTACTTATTATCTTACTATCTTAAAGGGTTAGTTCACCCAAAAATGAAAATTAAGTCATTAATTACTCACCCCCATGCTGTACCAACCCCGTAAGACCTTCGTTCGTCTTCGGAACACAAATAAAGATATTTTTGATTAAATTTGAGAGCTGTATAACTACCACATTGGCTCCTAAAGGACTGCCTCTTGACGGCCCAGAAAGTCAATGAAGAAAATGTTTAAATATCCCAAGTGACTACCGTGGCTCAACTATATGTTTATCAAGCGACGCGAATACTTTTTGTGCGAAAAAACAAACAAAAAAAACGAGTTTATTCGACTATTTATTTTCTTCATTGTAGGCCAGAACGAGACTTCCTTAGATTTCCACGACGCATGCGCGAGAATTGCGATCTGAAGTGGTGTAAGCTGATGTGAGCAGATCGCAAATCTCGCGCATGCGTCGTGGAAATCTAAGGAAGTCTCGTTCTGGCCTACAATGAAGAAAATAAATAGTCGAATAAACTCGTTTTTTTTGTTTGTTTTTTCGCACAAAAAGTATTCGCGTCGCTTGATAAACATATAGTTGAGCCACGGTAGTCACTTGGGATATTTAAACATTTTCTTCATTGACTTTCTGGGCCGTCAAGAGGCAGTCCTTTAGGAGCCAATGTGGTAGTTATACAGCTCTCAAATTTAATCAAAAATATCTTCATTTGTGTTCCGAAGACGAACGAAGGTCTTACGGGGTTGGTACAGCATGGGGGTGAGTAATTAATGACTTAATTTTCATTTTTGGGTGAACTAACCCTTTAAGATGGACTGTCCTGTATACATCAGTATTTTGAATTCAAGGTCAATGTATCATGGTCAAAACTAGACCTATTGATGGTGTTAGACATGCATAGTGAATACAAGCTCAGATTAGAGGATGAAAGGAAGGAAAGACAGAGATAAAAACAGGTCATAGAGAGGAAGAGGGGAGAAAAATCTCACAAGCTCTTGATTTCAAAGGGTACAGTACCAAAGCCTACCAGTGGAGGGTGCAGGGGGTTGCAACTACTTTTACAATTACCTAGTGTAGACCGACCTTGTACATGTACAAAATCAGGACGAATTATGATGGAGATGTTTTAACTTCGCAGAACATATGTGCAAACTACACACTAAGCTAAGACGAATAATTGGGTCTGAATCTGTAGAAGCTCAGAGGTCAAGTGGCCCTTGAGTCAGCTCAGAGATTTCATTTAAATGTAATTACATCTGCTTTCAGTCAATGATAAAGCAGCAAACACATAAGCCCGTGTGGGCGCTTTGCAGGACTCGATTTCATACAGAGGGTGAAAACTACTGAATACCACCTGTTGTTGATTGCTAATGCTTCACTTCCCGCAACCAGCACATAATGTGACCCTCAATTTAAACCGATTGCTAACAGACTGCCTTTCAATCATTATGTTTTTTTCAATATCATTAGTTTCATAACAGTTACAGTAAGCATTAAGCATTCAAATGCTATTAAATTCTCAATTCTGATGCCCATTAATAAAACATCCCCTTTAAATGGAACTGTATTGTTTCTGTAATTCTGTGTAATATCAATGTATAATATAGCCTTGATCTAGACCTCAACTTAATACTAGGATGAATATATTCAGCTTGGTCCAGATCTTTAGTTTGGTTACCTAAATTTGGCTGAACATGACTTTGGTTGAAAGTGCACTGGATTTTTGCTTTCTAATAAAAAAATTAAAAAACAGGTTTACACGTTTATTAAATAAAAACATAAAGTTTATATCCTGAAGTAGGAAATTAGCATTTGACAAAAAGGCTTTAAACCTAACATTTATTAGAATGGCTAAAGTTTTAATACTAAAAAAGATCAGAAGAGCAGTAGCAATAAAGGAAAAATACATCTGAGCACAGTATGTAGTGCGCATCTGGAGTCCAGACTGCATTTAATCACACTTACATATGACAAACACATATACTCACTGTAACTCTGAAGGGTGTAGCAGCAGTGGCAGTGGGCTCCATTGTGGGTGGGGCTTTGTCAGGGGCGGAGCCTGGCATGCTGCGTCTCCGCCCTGTTCTCTCGGGTGGAGAGTCTGAGAGACAGAGGGACAGGGAGAGGTTTTTTGTGCTATACAGAAAAGTTTATACCTTGTTATGACAAAAGCCCTTCAATAAAATCTTACCAAGGGAAAGGCCATTAAAGGAACTTACAAAAAAATAACTTCTAACCTTTCAATAACATTTAATTATTACAAGCAAATCAAAAAAAAAATAATCAAAATATCTAGACTATAATGTACATAAATTTTTAACAGCCAAGAATAAACCCACATGCACAACTCATGCACAAATCCCAGCATGTTATCCAAGTGTGGATGTAGACTGCGAGACTCTCACAGCATGATCGATAGGTACTGTAGATTATACCACAGAACACATGACAATGTCATAATGTAAAAGTCTTCTGAAATCCTAGCCCATTCATAAAGTCATCAAAACTCTACCTCCTTGTGCTATCAGTATACAACGCTCTTAAATCTTCTCACTGTTCCTTACTGCCTGACTGACTGCTTTATTTAATCATTGTCAAGATAGGTACACATAGATCTAGAAACAGATTATGTTAAGTGCTACGCTCTGATCTCACTGCCACACACTGATCCCCCACACACGACACAGTCTGAACTCAGTCTTCAGTCAGAACTCATTTTTCCACACACGCACACATACACACACACACACACAGAGAGAGAGAGAGAGAGAGGAGTATAAATTCTGTAAGCATCGTTTCACCCAATTTCCCAAATTTCAACCATCTAGTATGGTGTGTGGACTGGGAAATAACATTTTTTTTTAGTATACTGCAGGTTCAAATCTATAAGTTAAAGTCCAATGATTAGTCCCTATTTGTTTTAAATATTTTAATAATAATAATAATAATAAAACATTTTAATCAATTTTCACTTTTATGAAGGTCATTTACAGTTAATATTCCAGTGGTGTGACAATTTTCTTTGCGTATTTTTAAAATATATTTATTTTTGTACATATTGTAATATATCATATTTTGTACAATCATAATACATAATACAACCATTCCATGTAGTCTTTGAGAAGTAATATGAGGCCTAAAACCTTCATGTATTACCCAAAAATGCATGTCACACTGCAGAACTGTCAATGCTTGACATGTAAACTACACATAAAGTTGACCAAGATTTTAAAATGAAAACCAAGGGCATTTCTAGTACAGCGGGTAATGAATCGTTAAAATTTGATTATTTCACTTTATGGTAAGTCAGGCTATTGACAGTCTGACTACTTCAGACTTTGTATTCCGCTCTATTTCAGTTTGCTTCTGTACTCAGTCCGAGACATCGACATGTCTCTCAGTTTTCCTCCGGCCTGAAAACAGCCGGCCAATCAACGAACAGGGCCTGAGAGCGGCGATGTAGACGCTATAAGCACCGAGTTTAAGATTGTATTTTAGGTTAGGGAAATTGAAAATGACAGCGGATATGGAGATACAGGATGCAATTCGCTCTGTTCTGGAGAATATATTCCCGGCATTTGCAAACTGAAGCCAGAACGAGTGTTTGTCAAAGATTTTAAATGGAGGTGATGTTGTGGCCTTACCCCCGACATGTTTTGGTAAAAGTTTAATTTATCAAATATTACCGATCGTCATTGATAAACGAAGGCCGGCAAGTGATAGTTGTAATTGTGTTCCCCTTGGTTTCACTCATGGAGAATCAAGTTATGGAGGTAGCAGAACTCGGTCAGCCATGTTCAGCCTCGGTCAGCCATCATACATGTGTTTACAGTGGAAGTCAATGCTGAATAACACGCGTCATAACCAAACGTTATGTTATTGAACACACAGACAAACAGTGTGATGTTACCCAGGAAAACTACAGTAGGACATCTGGTTACCCTATACATAAACTAGACACATCTTCTCTCAGATGATGATCACTTTCAAAACAGATTTGAAAAATGCTATACACTAACATGAAAGAAAAAGAAGCAAGTAGAAGAGAAAAGGTCTCGCATTATCCTCCTAAAAACCCTTTCAACAGCAGATTATTAAACTTCAATCAAGGCAACCAGTTTCCATCAAGCCCAATGGTGATGTGTAATGAGAATTCAACAGTAGTTTGATCTGGGAGAGATGTCTTTCACTTTCCCTCAGTGCGTGAGTGTCTGCTTGTTAAAGATATAAGATGTGAAGGAACGCAGCTGTGAGAGAGCGAGAGCGAGTGTGTGCTTCAACTGACATCCAAATCAGTCCTTGTGGCTACCCTGTGTTTGGTTCTAGATTAATGTGTTTACTACTCTTTCCCTGAGGAGAAGATTGTTCCACAAGTGTCAACCACTTGTAAGCTTAGGCAGAACTAAAAAATGGCAAAGACACAGGTCTTATAAGAGAAAATGTATTTCTGTCATGACAACTCTGGGAGTGTTTGGCATGGTAATAGGTATTTTATTGCTGCTGCTGCTGCTGTAGGTTATTGCTGTGGCTGCAGAGCAAGTACAGTACGTGACTTGGCATCGCCAATACATACACGACACGCTGCTGTGAGCAAGTAAGACATGCTGCTGCTGTACAATATAGCGTACATGAATTACCCATAGCCAGTGTTGTGCACAGCCCATTCTCACTCCCAAGGCGTCACCTAACTGACGCCTTGGGAAGCATTTGACCATGCTTCAATATCTGACGCTCTAGGCGCCCTTTAGCGTCAGTCAGATGACGCCCTAGGATCGCGTGTACCCTACCCCCACCCCATACCTAAACCTAACCGCGTCCTCTAACTGACGCTTTCCTTTAGCGTCAGTTAGATGACGCCGTAGGATCGCGTCATGCAAGTGACGCTAAAGGGCGCCTAAAACGTCAAATATTGAAGCATGGTCAAAGGTGACGCCTTGGGGTGAGAATGTGTTGTTGTGCAAGTTACTTCCAAACTGTAATACATTAGGTATTACTTGTTACTGTTATTTAAAAGTAATTCATTACCTTACAATATTACTGTTTTAGAATTGTAATGCGTTACATTACTCATGTATTACTTTTGAGTTACTTTCACCAAAATAACTAAGTAGAACAACTTTGGGGCTGTAACGATATGCAATATGAAACCGAAATCGCGATTCGCCACACGACTCAGATCCACGAACAGAATCGCGACACACCTCTTCCAACTCCCAGCGTTATTCTCCTTACCGTCCAGATCCAATGCTGCCTTATCTTTAAATTAGGCTATTAGTATTATTTGAAGTTAACATTATAAAATACGTAGACCTACACCACAAAACTAGTTAAGGAGCATTATGGACATGACATTTGCAGTCAAAACTTGAAATAAAAAGTCTCAGAAAAAAATACATGTATTGAAACGTATATAGGCTACTTCCTCTAAGGACTCCAGACATTAGACAAATATCAGTCTATGTTTTCTTTTTAATATTAGGGAAAAGACACACATTCATGCGTGACAAAAAAAAAAATAGGACGCAAAATATATTTTTTGTAATTCTGTTAATTACACTGAGCAAATCGGATGAGGAAGGGTTGGCTCTCCAGTCTTCATAGAACTTAAAATATTCATTTTATTTTAGTTTTCGTGTTCGCATTTATGAGGAAAAAACAATGTTACAGACGCGACCGCTCTGAACTGGCACTAAAAGACTGCTTTAAAACTTTCACATAGTCTGTTGCCTTTAAGAAGTAAAAGCAGACAATACACTGTAATACAACTGTAATACAAGCCTCACTGAACATGTAACGAGTAAAATATTACTGAAAATTGATTAGTAATGCCTTACACTACAGCGTTACAGCAAAAAGTAATATGTTACTGTAATGTATTACTTTTGTAATGCGTTACTCCCAACACTGCCCATAGCAGATCTAGGTGGAGCTTTTAAATGCCACGGCCTAACTGAGCATTGTTTCTTACCATGTCCATCCCTTTATAACCACCATGTCCTCTGATACTCTACTTCCAGCACTTCCAGCAGGATAATGCACCATCTCACAAAGCTCGATTGTTTCAAATTGGTTTCTTGAACATGACAATGAGTTCACTGTACTAAAATGGCCCCCACAGTCACCAGATCTCGACCCAATAGAGCATCTTTGGGATACTTGTCAAGGAGAGCTTGAGTTAAACATGTGTTTCCATTAGACCCGGTTGTCCTCACAGGCTCTGTGATTGACAGGTACCTTCCCAGTGGTCAAACAGGACAATCAGGCTCTGCTGTTCCCATAGCAACCACATCTCAAACCTGCTGAGAATCCAGTCAGTCTTAGAAAACTCTCTTACAGAGACTATCAGTACATGCACTCACACAGGTCAGAAAACACACTTCCTGAGCTGTGGGCTGGGACACACACGTTTCCAGTTTTTCCTGTAGAGGACATTCCTGAGTGAGAATGAACTAACGGGATATGCCTCATGATCTAACACACACAAGCACTGAACAAATACAAAACCTGACAAAACATGGTTAAATCCGAGGTCTTTTCACATGATCCTCACTATCCTCCTGAATTGTGTGTACACCACTGATCTACTGTAAATAAATGACTGGATAGCTCATTGCGCTCTAAAGTGCCATCAGACTAAAAAAAAGAGGCCACCAGAAGTGTTTGAGTGGCCATCTTATGATTTTAACAGAGGGCATCATTGACTTTGACTTACAGCCAAAACCTTGACCTAAAACCTCCCGATTTACAACGTATCAGTCACACATGAATAGTTTTTAAAGGCACACTATGCAAGAATTACACCTTAATATAACAGCTTCAAAGTCATTTTGGAGGTAAACAAACTCATAGTAGGGTGAATCATCCTGGTAAAGCAAAGAAATCACAGTTGGAAGAGACTAGGAAAAGGAAAAGATAATCTGACCACGTGAGGAACCAGACAAGTCCCACTCGTTCAGGCTTTTCCATAGATAGGGCTTTTCACTCGTTGGCGCGAGCTAAAAAGCAGCACTGGATGCAACAGTGATGCTGACCTGGCGATCTTGTTGATGGATTGGTAAGTAAATATTTCTACGTTTTTTTTGTGCATTTTATTTTGTGATT